ACTCCCGCCCAACTTGGTGTCGTCTGCGATATTACGCAAAGTCAAACTAGCTGATGTGCCCTGTAGCCCATGGTAAAGTGCTCCATTGCATAATTACGGAGCACACACCAATTAGAATTATTAATATGTGGCCTGAGTCAGAAAGGCAGTCCTGATATGTCTGGCCCTGAGACTGGCTGCCTTGTGATCTTCATCAAATTATTGTACTTGGGTATCCCCTCTCTGTGAAAAGGGGAAGTGAATAGACAAGTTATGTAAATGAATATGTACAATGTACTTGGGTATTCATTTAATTTTCTACAGCTCTGTAGGACAGATAACAGCTGCTTTTTTCTGACTTAACCAGATCTAGAAGGTGCCTGTCTAGCTTATTAGAGAAATGTTCTTATCTATAGACTTGTAATATGCACCGTAAAGTGTCTTACAAAGATTTTACTTTTTTTTTCTTTAAAGCAATTTAGCTTTGATATTGCTGAGAAAGCAGCTCATGTGTGCCTTGCTCATCTCTTCACGTATCAAGATTTTGACATGGGAACGCTTGGATTGGCTTATGTTGGCTCTCCCAGACCTAACAGTCATGGTGGCATTTGTCCTAAAGGCAAGGCTTCCTTTTCTTCCCTCTCAATTGTGGGTTGAAAGCTAGTTTTTGTTATTTGTGTTTAATCGTCTTCTCCAACTTTCATGAAGCATGATGATTTGCGTAGACTCTAGTGGTTGGTTTTCGGATAGAATAGATGGCTGTTTTCTAGGCTGGAGCTGGAAAAAGAAGGGAGGGAAGGATAAAAGTCACTAAGCTATCTGGGGTGAACAAGCTGGCTAGACCAAGCCCTAGACCAAGGGCTGCTTTGTGTGGGTGCATCTTGCAGTGGTTCTGGAATGGCAGATGCTATTGTCTTGGAAATGTCTTATATTTTTCCCTTTACTGCAATACATGAGCTATTTGTGCTGTGCTTGAAAGAATTCCCACTCCAAAAACTGGCAAGAGGCAGGGTCTCACTGGTGAGCCTGTGAGAACAATACAGCTGTTCATATCTGCAAACAAGTATCCCTCTCTCCCCCAAAAAACCCTGAAACCCAAGAAAAATATTTGGCAACTTTGATTTTTCTTTCTCACTTCTATAGCTTATTATAGTCAAATTGCAAAGAAGGACATCTATCTGAATAGTGGCTTAACCAGCACCAAAAACTATGGGAAGACCATCCTCACAAAGGTAGGAGAGTATTCTCTGCAGAGCATGAACGTTCGGTGTACGTACGTGTGTGTGTTGGTGATGTGTGTCATGGGATTGTGACAAGCTTCCGTTTCTCAGAAACAAGCTGCTGGCTTTCTGATTGAGTCAGATCCCTGGAGACAAGGATGTAGGTCTACAAAACCAAAATCATAGTTTTTGTCCTTGCTGACAAGGGGAGTTGGGACTGAATGGAATTGAAAATTGAATTCCCTGGGGAACAGTGATGAGGAAACGTAGCCAGTGTCTAATAGGAGCTGTAGTTGTTCAGATATAAACAGGATTTTGATATCCAAAGATGAATTTAAATGTATTTTGCTTTTAAAAAAACCCAAACCCTCAACCGAACAAGCAAATGTTATACAACAAGTAGACTTACAATAAGAATAAAATTAGTCTGCTGACTCAAATAAGAAAAAACTGACATGTTTGCTATTACGTACATCTACAACATGCAGATGGAGGATTGTGTACGCTTGGTCTGTTCCATTTGCAAGGTAAAGCAGTGAAAGTAGTGCAGGCAAAGTAGGTGGTTTAGTTTGGGCCTTTTAATGAAATTTCTCTACCTGATTTTTGTGTGTGTGTGTCCTGAATAAGTAGAGCAGAGAACGGTATAATAGGCAGGGCTTATTAGTGCTAATACTAAGCCTAACGTAAATTGATTGTGTCTGGATTTTTCTTTTCATACTTGATATGATAGTAAATACATAAAGGCCTGAATGTGAGCTTTGTCTCACTTGTAAAGATACCAGAGCAGTGCCTGTGTTTGCATCTACCAAATTTTCCCTGACTTCTGCTGACTTCTCAGCTGTGCTTTTCTGTAGCCTGATTATAAAGAGAATTAATAATTGATGTGTGGGCTAAAACTTGGCACAGAAGCTGTCAAGAAGCTAGAAAAAAAAGACAGTGAAGCTTTGTGTGAGAGGGATGTTGACAAAGAGCTCTAGCTGTTGCCATGCTATTTGCATTTGTTGTTCAATATCCAAGCTGGAGTTCTGCCTTGGATTACAAAGGAAATTGAGTTTGCTGTCTTCCCAGTGGCGGTCACAAAGCTTGGGATGAGGCAGCGGGAGCATTATGGATTGGTTTCACAGGGAGAGTGTCACATGGTGTCCACTTGGGTTTTGAAAGACAAAAAATACCTGCTTAAAACCCTTCCCCAAATTAAACACCATGAAGCACAGGCGTGATCTTTGGGCAGCTCTCCTGTCTCTGGCTCTCGGATTAGCTATGCCTACACTGGGTACTGGTGCTGCTCGTTGCAGTGCTTGGTCCCTCCTGTGCCTGCACCGCAGCTGAAATGACAGTTAGCTCATCAAACTAGCTTCTCTCTCTCATGAACTGCTTGGTCTCCTTGTGGTTAACTTTTATTTCTGTGCCAGTTTTATTTATGGTTGTCACCTTGTGAGCTTGACACCATCCACTGGTCAGGGCACTGCAGGGAGGTGTGCAGCGAGGCAGAGCCGGTTTGGGATCCTCAGCAGGGGGAGTCCCGTCTTGCATAAATGATCTTGGAAATCCATCCCTGTTGGGCCACATTTGTAGATATCTTTCCTACTAATTGTGCAATAGAAGAGCTTATTCAGCACTCCTAATGTCATTATCCATTTAGAAGAAATAATTCTAATGGCAAGATATGTTAAACAAGAGATTGGCTAATCATAGCAGCTGTTTGGATTGTTTTCTGTTTCAACTTTTTATGCCTTCCAGCTATTTAAAAGCCGATTTTGATATTTTAAGTATCTGCACTGCATTGAAAACAAGACTGAATCGGTATTCTAGGACAGCATTTTGCCTTTAACAGTGGTTTAGTATTCAAAACTGGTCCTGGAACATGCCTTTAGAAATGGACCATAATTTTACTTGCCTTTAGTTGCCCACTTCTAAAAAAGAATGTTCACAGGGAAATCACTTTCCATCTCAGTCTATCTTAGAATTGCTGGTGGCCTGGAAGTAGCTGGGATCTTCTGTCCTGTCCTGCTCAGACTAATTTTTTTCATCATTGCTTTTTTCATGTTCAAAAAAGGAGGCTGACCTAGTTACAACGCACGAACTCGGACATAACTTTGGAGCAGAGCATGATCCCGATAGTCTGCCAGAGTGTGCCCCCACTGAAGACCAAGGAGGGAAATATGTTATGTATCCAATTGCTGTCAGTGGAGATCATGAAAACAATAAGGTATATTTGCATAGTTTTGCTTCCACGTACAAATTTCTGCTATGGTCAATGACCCTTTGCATGGAAAGTCTATTTAGTTAATCATTCCTGCAGCTTGAAACCATCAGGAATGTAATGGATTAGCCATAAGAAGAAAACTTGCATGCCGTTGGGTTCTCTGCAAGATAAGCTCATCTTTGGATTCTGAGTTTCACTGGAGTTCATAGCATGTCCAAGTGCTTTTCTAATTAGTTGTTTGTAATTAGCTGTGGCTGCATGTTCCTAAAAGCAAGTCATCAGCAGGAGTCAAATATAGGACCTTCAGTACCAAATAGCATTTGGGTGGTCCATAGCTATTATCGTTGGAGAGAGGCTGCCAGATGCCTCTCTCAGGTCTCACCGGTGCTCACCGGTCTCAGAAGCTTGCACTGGCAGCGTGGACTTGGCATTGGGCCTGTTCTGCAGATTATCGAGGGAATGATTAGTTTGCAGTCTAGTCTGACTTGCTGTGGTTCATGTCTAGCCCTGCTGCCAAGAGGCAGCGCAGTCTCTCCCTGTTGCTACAACTTAGCAGCCCTTCCTGGGGATGGTTGTTAGTGGCCCTGAAGCTGTGGGAAAGCTGGAGTTGGCTCTATGACCCTGAGCCAGACTGCGTGCGGGTGTCCCTGCCTTGTAACATAGCAATGTCCTTTATGGACCCAACTGTTACTTTCCCATCTTAAAATTTTTCCAAGGTATCAAACTGGCAGTATAGAGGGAATAACTGCTTTCTGAGACACCAGAATTTAGAGGTGTAAGGAGGCTGAGGCTGTCTTAGATGCCACTTGTTGACAGAAAGGTACACTCCTCAGTGCTGCTTTTTCCCCTCATGACTCTCTAGATGTTCTCAAGCTGCAGCAAAAAATCCATCCATAGGACCATAGAGATCAAGGCCCAGGAATGCTTCAAAGAGCGCAACAACAAAGTGTGCGGGAACTCCAGGGTGGATGAAGGGGAGGAATGCGATCCTGGCCTCTTATACCAACAGGCTGATCCCTGCTGCTCTGCAGACTGTAAACTGAAAGACGGTGCCAAATGCAGGTAAGTGGAAGTAAGCTGCAACTGCTCTTACACAGGAGAGAACGATGGGCTGGGCTGAAAGCTCGTAAAGCCACCTGCAGTGTCACAGACCCGTTTCCTGGATTGAAGGCTAAATGTGTGAACTGAAGACAATAAAGGATTCCAGGAAAGGCTACTGTGTGCATGGACTGTTTGCATACGTTAATTTTTATAGCATTCTGTTACTTATTTCTGAGAAGTGCCAAGAGCTACAGATGTGAAGATGATGGTGGTGATGATGATGATTATTATTATGCAAACTCAGGCATTCAAAAAATTAATATTAAAAATTTCCTGTGCAAATACAATTTTTGCTTGTATTGCAAGCTTTAAACTGGGATCAGATACTGGTATTTTCAAGACTGCTGCAAAATGTGTTTGAGCAGACAACACAGTGACTGCACTAAACGAGTCCTGTTCTTCTTGCTCTTTGGGGTGTTTGTGGCCCTGTTGCAATGCAGTGTCCACTCTGTTTTTTCAGAGTTCAGCTCTGCACCATGTAACAGTAGAGAGCTCGTGCAACTCCTGTTGTTTAGCAAGAAATTCCCTCAATTTTAATGACTGTGTTTGTACAAAGGGCCTTCTTGCATTAGGTGCAGAACAAAGAGAATAAAGAATAGCGCAGAATGAAGAGTAGTAAACCTTCAGGACAAATGGGGAAAAATGTGCGGGGAAGAAAACAGTGGAAGGTCATGTCCAAAGCTGCACAGCAAGTAACAAGAGGATCCAAGTGTCTTGAATAAGTATAAGGATCCCTGCGTTGTCTCTCAATATGTTGTACTTTCTACGTGCTTTTACCTTTGGTAAATGAAGAGTGAGTGGGTGTCTGGAAAGGTGGTCGTGGGAGGGGGTAGGGAGGGTGAGGGTTTTGAATCAGTGAGTCAATCTTCAACAAGTAGCTTTTTTTTTTCCCCATAACATCGTTTTTTCCCTGGCTTTGTCATGCTTGTACTTATAAAAAAAAATTGCTTAGTATTTCTTCTTTTCACTTTGATCTTTCTACAGTGATCGGAACAGCCCCTGCTGTAAAGGCTGCCAGTTTGAAAGTGCACAGAAGAAATGCCAAGAAGCCATAAATGCTACTTGTAAAGGAGAGTCTTTTTGCACTGGTAGGACGTGTTTCTGTCCCCTCTACGTCAGCTAGCCAAGCGCTCCAGGCTCAGTATCCTGTTCGATCCGCTTTCAAACTAGTGCCCTTTATTCATCCGGTACATGTAATTTTAGAGACCAGTTAAGCATCACAAAATTGCCCTATAATGAGCTTCATTGTAGTTCAGGACTCACTTGGTGATTTACTGCCCAGAAGAACATGAAAAATGTTGATTTTTTTTTTTTTTTTCTTTTTTTCCTTCCTTCTTTCTTTCCCTTAAAAAAAGAAAAAGCAAAACAGGGTGTGTCACTGGAAGGGGACAAGGATGAACTGAATCTTGCCATAGAAAGAGTGGAATTACTGCAACTCTGCTTCACTTCCCCACTTGTTTACTTCCTTCTCATGACTCCTTGCCTCCAGGAAAGATTAAGTCAGAGCTCCTGCTTTGCTGATGGCACTTCCAGGGTCTGCTACGTACTCCTTGGTCGCTGGAGTGCCACAATGCCTGAGTTGTTGAAAGCCTCCAAAGCTGCTGCTGCCTCTCGGAGGAGCTGGCAGGCAGCCTACAGATCAAAGTCAAGAACAAGCTATTGGGGTTCCCCGTGGGATGAGTCTGGATGTCCTTTATTGTCCTTTTTTTTTCTGCACACTTAGGTACTCTGCCCTTTACTCTAACACAGTCCTCCTACCCTGTCGACCTCCATCTGTAGGGAACAGCAGCGAGTGCCCCCCTCCAGGGAATGCTCCAGATGACACAGTCTGCGTGGACATGGGGAAGTGCAAGGATGGGGAGTGCGTCCCTTTCTGCGAGAGGGAGAAGAACCTACGGTCGTGTGCGTGCAACGGTGGGTTACACTGAAATGTGTGCTTCGGCTCTGCTCATCGGAGAGTGCTGGCTTCGCTGTGGGCTTGCCTGTTGGAGGGCTGAGTTTATGGTTTCCGAAAAAGTTTAAACCGTTGTTTTTTCAGGGCTAGTGTTTTCTGTTTGGAAGACAAATGTAAATGTCCTCTACTCCTCTGGTGATCTGGGTTTGAAGACATTAAGATGAGATTTACGGTCTGGCACCGCAGTTAGAGAGGGCACTCTCCCACCCTCCACCTCCTCTGCCACAGGCAGACGGGAAGGAAAGTCTGACTGTTCTCTGATTGTAAAGAGATCCTAACCAACCTCTGGACCAGGCATCTGGCAGAGGAGTGGTAGCCTCCAACAAGTGATTAAAGAAAAATTTCAAAGAGGTTAAAGTGCCATGAGAACATAGGATCCCTGAGTCCAGTCCCCTGCTATTGCAAACCTGCCTGTCATATACTTCTGTCAATAAGCTTTACTGTTTGCTTGCTCTCAGTCTCAGCTCTTAAATCTGGTGAAGCAGCTGGGAGCAGGAGGAAAGCTTCACAGGGGCAGTGCAGGGAAGTGCTGTGAGCCCCACCATTTGAGATGGAGGGCATAGCCAGGGAGAATGGTGCCTAGAAATACTTAAATCTGTGTCTTGGTCATGTTTGGAACTTTTCACCTGCCTGTTGATTGTTGCAGTGTTCGAGTATCAGCTTGGAGAGCTTGGTCCCACTGTGTCCCCTAATAAGTTGCACAGGGCATCTGGTTGAGTTTCAGGCTTGGTCATCAGAGTGCCTGAAATTGGGCAACTCACACAGTCCTTCCTTCCCATGGGGAAGCCAGGGGACACGTGGGGTTATGCATCTGTGTGGGGTTATAGGTTGGTGCTGCCGAGGAATGACTTTGTTGCTTTATTACAGAAACGGATAATTCCTGCAAGGTATGCTGCCGGGACGAGCAGGATAGGTGCATACCGTACGTCGATGCTAATGACCAGTTCCTGTTCCTGCGCAAGGGGAAGCCTTGCACTGTGGGCTTCTGCGATACAAATGTAAGTTTTCCCAGATGTCAGTGCACTGCATGCTCTGCTTCTGTGGCTGGGTGTTTGAGAGTCCTCTGTGATGAGGACTGTGCTGGTAAAGAGAAGCCAAAGCTTGATGCGCTGCTGAGCAGGGTGATACTGTGTAAGTACCTTTCCACAGGGTAAATATTAAAGGGTGTCTGAGGCTGTAGGTGGAAGTTAGTTCTGCAGAGACCCGTGCCAGATGAAGCTGTTACTTTCTGCCATTGCTTATTGCCCCTTTTGCTGCTCCCCACAGCTCAGCCAGCCGGCAGTTTGTGCGAAGGAGGTGAATGAGCACTGTCCTAAGCTCAGCTAGACTTGCAGTGCTGGCTATTTCAGCTGTTCACGTTAGCCCAATTAATTTTGACTAAAAAATTTTGACTAAAGGTCAGGGAGCAATCGCATGAAAATCTAGTTGGCAGTATCTGAAGGGGGCAGTGAGCCTGTGGGAGGGAGACTGGTGGGTTGCTGCCACTCAGTGACCGTTTCCATGGTACAGCTGCATGGACATTTGCGTCACCTGCAGACCCTGGTAGGAGCTAAACTGGGTGTTGGCAGAAGTGAATTTGGGAGGGCGTGCCCCAGCGCTTCCGCCTGCAGAACTGAAAGACTGATGATCTGTGTTAAACCAGCACAGCCAGATCTGGGAGTCTGTCTGTAACCTTGGGCTCCTGAGAGCTGCAGCCTTCTTGGTGGGTAATGGGAACTGAGGCTTCCGGTGCTTAGACCTCTCCAGAAACTTCAGTTTTATGTCCCCTAACATGGGGCGAGGGTGGGGCAATTTTTGCACATTTCAAACATTAAAATTTCATCTATTTCAGCAATGGAATTGAAACTGTTTTGCCAAAAATAAAGGCAGTAAAAATGGACTGCTGCTACTGGGCGTGAATGTAAACCTATATTCAGAATTTGAGTCAAGTGCTGCTCTGTAGTTTTTATTTCATTATAATCTTTGTATCTTCTTCCCTCTCCATCTTACGCTTAGATAGCATAAGATTATTTTGTAAATAAGTGTTTACTTTTGCAGGGTAAATGCGAGAAGCAAGTACAGGATGTAATTGAACGATTTTGGGATTTCATAGACCAACTCAGCATCAATACTTTCGGTAAGATATGTAACCATATCCTTTGGGGTTTTTTTAGTTCATGACATGAACCTCTAAAGCCTCAGAGGGAGTTAGCTGGCTGTTTTTATTCACCTGTATGCAAGGGTAGCTAGTAGCTGTGTTTCTGATATATGTAAATATGTTTTTGCCTAAAGTTCGACAATACTGATCTTGTCTTTTAAAACTGAAAGGATGGGGCATAATTTTGCATTTTTCCACTCCGTTATTTTCTAGGCATCTTCCAAGCACGTAAAGGAGATGACAGCTTCTTGTCTGAATAACAAGAAGTAGGTCAATTAGAGAAAAGTAAATAACAGACAGTCTTTTTAGAGGTCAGCTAGATTCGGCGTAGTATAAAGTGGGCCTCTCAGTGGGATTTAAATGTCAACAGACTGGGAGAGGAAAACTTCAATTCTCTCTTATTTAAGAAAACCACTGAGGTCACACACCTCAAGCTGTGTGCCTGTACTGAGTCCTTGTCCAGCGATGGTGAGTGGGCCTCCTTGGTCCTGATCCCCAGTGTGCAATCCAAGCAGGTAGCCCCCCAGTGTAACCCCGCAGTGTCTCGCTCTGTGTTACTGGAACCGTACAAAACCTGTTAATAAGCTGGTGCTGTGTAATGGCTGGGTAACTACATATGCTCACGGTAATGCTGTGCCTGTACAGTGTAATTATCTGGGCTTGGGGCTTTCAATCTTGAGTTCTAGGTTTAAAAAATTGTTTCTTAAGTAATTGTTAAAGCTATTTAGCCTACTCAGGTAGAGGCAGTTTGTGTATCTTTGATGTTCAAATATTCTGTTTGTGGAGGCAGGTAGTTACCACTTGACTGTAAAATCAGGATTTGGTAACAGACTTGCGGTGTGTTGAGAGAGGCAGCTTGGCTAACTCAATATAGCCTGTTCCCAGTCAACTCATATTAAATGTTATGGCCTGTCAGCATTTCTCATCAGAGAAGAACGGAGGAAAAAAAACCTGTTATTGTTAACATATTGGATTCAGTTTTCTAAAATTGTATAACTTCTTTCATCTTTGCCTAGTCCTGCAGTCTGTGCTTCTCTGAGCAAATTCTGTGGCTTGGCTTGCGTGAGCAGAGGCTGCAGAATGGGGATAGGTGTGTATGTTCAGTATTTGGTAGGTAACTAACAGATCTGAACTGATTTCACAGGGAAGTTCCTAGCGGATAATATAGTGGGCTCTGTGCTTGTCTTCTCCTTACTTTTTTGGATTCCTCTCAGCATCCTTGTGCATTGTGTGGTGAGTAAGCTGTCTTTGGGATGACTGCTCTGTTGGACTGAGCTGTAAGAGAACACCCTTCAAATATGAAATGGCAGATGTCTGTGGGAGAAGGTGATGGGAAGCTTTTAGCAAACCCCAGGGGGGGGAATCCAGCGTATGTAAGACTTACTGCTCCTTCAGTAGGCAAAACTCCTGCTAACTCTGCTGGGCTCTGGCAGATACAGTGCTCCCATGACTATTCCCTGGAGCCCTTCCTGTTCTTTCCTAGGCAGATTTTCTACTTCTGCCTCCCAAATTCTACCCAAGTATAATTTTGGTAACTGCCATTAGAGTCAAAGTTTTCGAAAGCCCTGCTAAAAAATGAGACACCCACATTTTGTGGGGAGACCCAGGGTGGGAAGTGGTCTTGGTTGAGCTTGGGTGGATGGGTAAAGAGAGGGAGCTCATGGCAACTGAGAGTGTGGGCACGTGGTGTGATGCTGACAGCAGTGTGGGGTTAGAGCAGAGGCTTGCTGTGCCCATGAGCACTCCTGGGGTGGATGGGAAGGCCTGGGAAGGGAAAAGAGCCCCACGCCCTGCTGTGTCCCTGCAGGGAAATGGGGACAGGGACCTTGCAGTTGGGAAACTAACTTTCTTATTCTGTGTGTGTATGTTTTGGTTTGCTTTCATTTGTTTGTTTTCCAACAGGACAAGAAATTGGACAAGCAGTATGAGGAGAACACAAAGTCCCTGTTTTGCCCCAGTGTAAGTTGCTGTCTGAATATGAATTGGTAGAAAGCTATCCAATATGTATTAGAAAATCTGAACCTATGGTGTGTGCAGAGTATTTACCAAAGACGTGATAATAGACAGACCTGGAGCCTTGTGCCTCACGCTGCAGATGGATGAATCAATTTGAGGGAAACTGTGTTTTCTTGAACAAGCCTGTGTTCGATATATCAAGCACTGCAGCTTGGTGGGGTCTGATTCTTCCTTCCTGTAAGAGCTGTGCCTTGACCTTGTTGACAAAGCAGCGCTCTTGCAGCAGCCGCAGCTCCCGGGGCAGGAAGCTGCTCCGCTCTGCGGAGCACCGCTTTGTGCAGCAGGTGCCTGTGTACAGGGTCCCCCTGGCACGGGTCATTCGGCAGCTTCAACCACAGACCGCTTGTTCCCAGCCAAGTGGCGTCAACGAAGCACAAGACTTAGCGGGGTGACGCTGCAGAAAAATCTCTGCAAAATATGGCGTCTTTGCAGAATGGTTGTTTGCAGGAGTCAAACAACCATTGGTGGCCAGATGTGCTAAAGCCTTCCAGTCGCTTATGGGAGAGCTGGCCTCAGGGTGCAGGGACCTGTCAGTGACACTCCTCACCTTGTAGATACTGAGTTGGGAGAGGAGAAGAGCAAAAAAATGCCTAGATAAATTTTAATTACAGTCCAGCACAGGACACCTTCTGACATGGATTTTCTGGGTGTCCTGTCCAGTGCTTTGACAACCCAATTCTTTTAATAACAGAAACATGCAATTAAGGAAATGTCGTTTTGTAACGGGAGAGGGAAGAAAAGCCTTGCAGAGCTCCTGTGCAAGCACTGGGGGAAGCATACTGAAGTCAAAGACCGCTGAGGCAGCTTGGATTGCCTCTGTCATCTACTCCAACATAGGTGAAGGCGATCTTAGTTCGAGTCCCCCATAGCTGATGTTGGTTAACCCCCGGCGGCCACCCCGCCCCCCCCCAGCCACTCGCTCACTCCCCCTGGTGGGAAGGGGGGAGAGAATCGGAACAGTAAAAGTGAGAAAACTCATGGGTTGAGATAAACAGTTTAATAGGCAAAGCAAAAGCCACGCACGCAAGCAAAGCAAAACAAGGAAGTCATTCCCTACTTCCCATCAGCAGGCAGGTTTTCAGCCATCCCCAGGAAAGCAGGGCTCCATCATGCATAATGGTGACTTGGGAAGACAAACGCCATCACTCCAAACGTTCCCCCTTCCTTCTTCTTCCCCCAGCTTTATATGCTGAGCATGACGTCATATGGTATGGAATATCCCTTTGGTCAGTTGGGGTCAGCTGTCCCAGCTGTGTCCCCTCCCAACCCCTTGTGCACTCCCAGCCTCCTCGCTGGTGGGGTGGGGTGAGGAGCAGAAAAGGCCTTGACTCTGTGCAAGCACTGCTCAGCAGTAACGAAAACATCCCTGTGTTATCAACGCTGTTTCCAGCACAAATCCAAAACATAGCCCCATACTAGCTACTGTGAAGAAAATTAACTCTATCCCAGCCAAAATCAGCACGAACGCTATAAGAAAAGTCACCTTGGAGCTTTATACCCGAATTCAATCAAAAAAATCCCAGAAGGAGGTGTAGCAACAGAGCACAGGTATAGTTAATGGACTCCTTGCACCAGCAACAGTTTAACAAACAAATCTCACGTCTTTTGGATCTGCTGAGGATTGAGAGGTTGGGAAATGTCGTACTAGTAGCAGGTAAACATCTCATCCTTCCCAGTATTAGCATTTACTAAGGTTCATGGGGATTTTTTTTTATCCCTAGAAATCTCTGGATATTTTCCAAACCATGCTCAAATAGAAGCAGAAATCAATGGGCTTTAACGTAATCTGGGTTGCAGAATTTGGCTGTGATCACAGTGGTCCCCCTCTAGTCTTTGACCCTGTGTTCAGTGCAACTTCTTGCACATGAAACAGGGAACTCTTCAGGTTGGAAGAGTGGAATAAGCTGTACCTGTGACTGTTTCCCTGCACTGAGCTCTTGTTGTCATCTGGCTTGACCCTACATTTCCAGCCCTAGGTTTTGCCAAAGCAGTGTTGGGCGCCAGGGGAGGTGGGGCTGAGTCACCAGCTCTGTCCCAGTGAGGCTGTCACCTGGGGAGCTTTATATGGAGAAGGAACAAGCAGAGATACAAAGGCCTTTCTGCCTGTAGCGCTTAGCGTAGCTGGATTTCTTGAGAAAAAAACAACACAACAAATCAATTCTGCTGGATGTTCCCTTGCTCTTAAGTAAGCGTAGATCTACTGTAAAATCCAAAATCTCACTCCTTTTCCAACGCAGTGCAGTGGGCTCAGCCTGGCTGGTGCAGGGTAGCCTGTGGCGGCAGGAGGGCGGTCAGCACATCTCTGCTGGGAGTGGAGGAGGGACACAGTAGCCTTTGAACGGCTCTAACAAGTGTGGGTGCTCCTCAGAAGGTGCCTGTTGCCTGTTCCCCTTGAAAACAGTGCAAAATGGACTAGACCCTGGTTGCTTCTCCCACTGACATGGCTGCTTGTGTCTTGCAGAACGTGGAGATGCTCAGCAGCCTGGACTCTGCCTCCGTTCGAATCATC